TTTTAGCTGCTCTCATTTTAATCTTATATTTTAGCTAAAGTTGTTTTAATTAGATTTTTTAGCTACTGGATTGCTGGCATTAGCTTTTAGCTACAGTTTTGATTTATTTTTTTCATTCTATTTATGGTTTTGCCAACTTCAGCTTCTGTTCTGCTCATTTTAACTTAAACAATTTAGTTTTTTCATCAAACATCAGCGAAGTCATTCAGTGCACAACAATCAACAGCATTTTAACAGAAAAGAATACTTTTTCTAGCTTGAAATTAGTTCTCTGAAAATATTCCAAACAATGCGCACTCCAAACAGAAAAAAAGTGATAAATGGACAAACTTAAGTGTAAAAAAAGAAAACACCAAATGCCAAGGCCTTCTGCATTACTGCATAAGGCGAGTCGGTTTATGAAGATGCAGTGTTAGATTCTCCAGTGCGGTAAAACCGTCCAAGAGCCCTTCTTGTGTGTTTAAATAACAGGAAGGGTGGCACCACAAACACAGGCCCGCTCAGCTTTGTCAAGCTAATGACTTCCTGCTCCAGTGGCTTGTGAAACAGTGTTAGAGCCAAAATAAGGAAAATCGAGAGCAGAATTTAATCTGTCACTCAGTGGAAAGCCTTTAAGCAGCAACACGCAGCCATCCGGAGGGTGAACGCAAGCGGGGTGAAATCACAGCGAAAAGCTCCCGAGCACAGAGCGAAGCACCAGAACAGGTTGTGTATAGGAATGTGGATTACAGATTGCTTGGATAAATAGGGTATTCTTTGAAGGGAAAGCACCAGTGTGTGTGTGTGTGTGCGCGCGCATGAATGTCAACCTGGGTGGTAATCTAAAACCATCAATCCTTTTGAATCTAGGTAAGCTTCACCTGTGTAGAAAAAAAAAAGATTGATGTGGGGAAGAAGACTATGCTTGCACTCAGTTTTTTGATCTTCCTGAATTTGCCCTAAGCTCAGTTTTGAGCCGTGTAGCTGCGCGACAGCCATATTAACAAACCCAAATCTCACAAGGTGGAGAGAGAGCCGCATTCAGTCTGCCTTTTCATCTGAGCGGAATTAATCATTTCCGTGAGTTGCTTGTTTCCACCGGCGTCTCTGAGGAAAACTGGATGGATGTGTTTAGGCACTTCTCTGGGTTTAGATGAGCTAAAATTATTCAAACGCATCAGGAAATTGTTCTGCCAAAGCTGTTCTGTCCCCTCTTCGACCTCCAGATCGCCCATCGCCAAAGGCTAAGCGGGGATCTGTGTACATGTGTGTATCATTAGCAAAACATCCCAAACCACAGGACAGTTTTTAATGAAACTCTCAGAAAGTAACTACGGAGTGTACATGTATTATATTTAGAAAATAAACTCATTCTAGATGGCTGCCACAACTATTATCAACTACAAAAAATGGTTATAATTCAGTTCATTTTATGTGGTAGTAGCTGAGAGTGAGTGCTAACGCATGCTAACAATTATGCATGAGATTGAGCATAATCCAATAATTAGGTTAGTCTAAAACTCTGGCATGAAAAGTATCGAGCAAGAAATATGTTTTTAAGTTTCTTTAGCAGGTTTTCTGAAAATAATTAACTCAAAACAAAAGACAATGGAATCACACCTCTGTAGAAATGCAGTAAAGCAACATGAAGCTTGCAAAGACCTTGTTTTTTGTTTATTTTTAACAAAACAACCCTCCAAAAAACATCCATACAAGTGGCAGTCTGTTAAAAAAAATTATTAAAACACATCTTTTAAATAAATATGATGAAGAGAATACATTTTTGCACTAGCATGATGGGCAATGTCCTTAACTCTGGCTTAGATGCAAAGAAACTTTCAAGAATTCATCATATAACAAGTCTATTTGGTATCACCAACATCAAAGTTTTGTTTTTCTTCATTAATATTCATTTCAGATGAAAAAGGAAGCAGAAAAAAGGGAAACAAAAAATGCTAATAAGTCTTTTCTGATATGCAAATGGCAGAAGCCAGACGTATCTTTGCACTTTGCGCATGAAAAAAAAACCCACACACACAGGTATAAGTCGTATATATGTGCGTGTCACAATGGTTTGATCCAGAAAGGTTCACACTTGTCAACAGACCCATTTTAATTAGTGATCTGTTTCTACCCTTAGGTAGAAACTGAAGCAGTGGATTGTAGAAGGATTATTATTTTTATTTTGGCAGAGTTTCAAGAGCTCCTAGCAAGATTAGGTCATATTAACGTGGGTCAGACGTAAAGAAAAAAAGTAAGAAAAATAAATAAATAAAACCACTAAACTTTTAATAATAAAACTAGATCTCCAGAACAAAAAAAAGCTTGGTTATCACAAAAATAAAGTCATTTAGTTTGGGATATTTCTATGTAACTGTGCAGAGAGCAGCCACAGTAATAAACACTGTGTGCTGCAGATCTGGTCCGTGAGGGGAAGGGGGATCCCTGGGGTATTATTCAGTGGAGTCTAAAGTCCTTTAGGGTTCTGAGGGATCACAGGGTCAGGTCTCTGTGGACCCAGTGTGATTCTACACTTCTTCAAACTGAGCCTCAGGAAGGTGACTAAGCTTGTAGGCTAAAAAAATGTTGCTAGAAAGTGTGTGTATTCCTGTGTGTCTATCTTTGTGAGAATGCATTTTTAAGGTCTACCATCCTTGTGAGGATATCTTGCATGGTCCTCATAAGGGACCACCCCATTTGTGGGTCGGGGGCTAGGCTTAGGGTTAGGCTATAAATGACCAGTAGAAGAATGAAGGTCCTCACAAACACTGCAAGACAAATCTGTGTGTGTGTGTGTGTGTGTGTGTGTGTGTGTGTGTGTGTGTGTGTGTGTGTGTGTGTG